AGTTCGGCTTTACTTGTCTCTATGACGAGTTGTTGTGTGGTGCTAAGAATGGCGATACTCACTGACGATGCCGGTGAAACGTTTGGGAATGTACCACGTCCACGGTTCAACTTTGGAAATGATAATGCAGACAATGGAGTCCGGACTAGGTGCGTTCCTCTAAGTCTTCCTACTAATATGACCATGTTGCCAAAACAAGGTCAAACAGCCTCTATACTCTCTTATAAATATTTATGTGCTCGGAGCTTTTTTGATGCCTTGGATATATATTTTCCTACTTTCGAGTGTGTCTGCCTCCAGGCTGCATGTGCTGTCCAACAGTCCCATAACCTCTTTCTCATAGTCCTTTAGTGAATATTTCTGAATACCCTTACATTTTATTCCCTCCTTTGTGTCCTTTCTGATATTTCTCAGTTGGTGAGCGATGCAAATGGTCTCCAGGATAAACTGGCCTTCACCAACGGTCAATTGCGAGCCGACTTTCTGCGCTGGCGTGATGACCGCCGCACTGAATTGTTGCAAAACCTAATAGAGCTAACTGATGCCCATCTGGTCCATTGGCGCGAATGTGCTGCCGCCTGGGCCTCCTGTACCAATTGCCGTAATCAACACCTTCCGACACAGGCGCCAGTTTCGGCAATTTCACTTGTCGGCACCAGCAACAATAGTCGATTAACGTCTGTGACAGGCAGCAGTGGTGGTAGGCGCCCAACGACATCAGGGTCTGGACAGAAAAATGAGTCGGTTGTAGAAGTTGACATACTGACTGCCCAAGGTGATCAGACTGCAGTCCCATCTGCCTCGACGACAAGTAAGCCGTCTGTTAAGAGCTCTAGTAAAGGTAGGTTGTGTAAGATTATAGAAGGGGTCAGACCTCGCCTTCGCAACTTGATTGTGTTGTCTTCGATAACTTTAATGAAGTCATCATGTGCAAAGTATCATTAAATAGATGCCATCATTATTTCCAACGTCTGACGTTGGACTTGGCTTATTTCAGAAGTTTCGCTGGCATCGTCGACTTCCCTTATCCATCTTTATGCTGAGCAATACGGTTTTCTCTTAGATTTGAATGAAAGCTGTGTTTCACCAAGTCCCTTAACGGAATGCTGTTGGCATACCTTTCATTTCGTTGAAAGAGACGAGCATAAGGAATATGTGTTCTGTCCTTACTGGACGCATAAGTGGCTGCTCTACTTTTCTCCCTTTATATTCATTTATCCCAGCTTCCTATCGCAATCTCTACACTGTTGGTTTGGCCTAATTTTGCAACTTGGTCGGGACAACAGCTGGACCGCATGAAACGTATCCAGTTTTGCATCCTCTTCCAGATTAGTCATGATAATTTTCAGCATCCAACCGTTGTTTTAATATCTCCTCAGAGGTCTCGCCGGCCTCATCAGTGTTGGGCGCCAAATCATCAAAGGGATAAGTTGAAGTGATCCCCTTGACCGATTTTATGTTTAAACATTGCGACATCTCTCCTCTTACTTGTCTTAGCCCATTGCACCGTATCCTCATCCCTTAATCCCACTTCATATGACCATTTTACTCATTTACGCATGTCTTTGTCTTCGCCTGACAGAGGGTAGCAGCTTGTGAATCAAGTAAAAAACCCATCCCACTCCCTAAGTAAACCTGATGTTCAACTTAATTTAGGATGTCTATATTTCTTTCTAAATACTCTTGTCAGACTTTTAACTGATTACTTCTCACCACGCACATTCGCACACTTAGTCCATGTACTGTCGACCAAGTGATAATGTGCCCTTCCTTCTGTAACAGTTAGGTGGATTTAAAAAAGATCTAGATTTTTAACTTAGCATCCCTAATGGAATACTACCTAGAATTTTATGCTCCTTCATTTATTTATCCCAGGTAGACTCACTTTAGTGAACATTTTGAAGTTGACTCATCTGCAATCGTATTCATTTATATACGATTTATCCCTTAAGATCCTTTTCTTGAAGATATCTCTTCCAATTATTCGAGTAATTTTATCGGAAAAGACCTCTCATTGTTGATACTCTTGCTGAATTTCAGGTTTTCTACTTAGCCTACATAATAAACGAAATTGAAGGTATGCAGGTCAAGATTGTGTGGTCGCATTCTCATTTCGTTGTATAGAAGTTGTTTGATTTTGTTTTCGCAACTTAGTCATATTGGCAGGACGGATTGGACAAACACACCTAGTCCAGAGTCCATTAATACTTTCCAGAGTCGGACCGTGGACGCGGTACCTTCCCAGACCTTTCGCCGGCATCGTAGACGGCATCCTTAGTGGCCATTGCCAGTCTTAGTACCACACCTCAACTCGTTCAACATTGAACCAAATCAAAGCAATCAGTATCAGTAGGTTGGCGCATAAGAGACTAGGGCATAGGAAGTCATAAAAACAGGACTGACGCGGCGTGACTGGAACTAGTTGGCTGACATCAGGCCTGTCTTACCCATGAAACAAAAACTTGACGATGAGAATTACTCGGTGACTTTAGCCTCAAGTTAGTCTAGCAGACGCAGAGGGTGGGACATAACGCCTCGAGTTGCCCAGATGGGGTGGTAGGGCTCGAGTGAAATACTGGAACCAGGGGTATAGCAGACGGATCTTACGGAGTAAGAGGGAGACTCTGATAAGACCTAGGGAAGGAGGACTGCATAACAATATGGCAGACTCTTAGCAACATTCCCAGCACAGGGGTGAAAGGGTGAGAAAGCCAACGTGGAATGGGGGGGTGCTCATGAAAGCCGCTCATAAGGGCATACCATAACACATTTAAATAAGCAAATTAAAATTGTGATAATGAAGGCGTGATCGGAGGATTCAGGATTATGGATTAGCCCAGGGGGCTGAAGATATACCACGATTGTTTAGCAGACAATTGATAAAGGATCGGCTCCACTTGTCTCTTTGATGAGTTGAGGTGTGGCACTAAATTTGGAAATGATCACTGATTATGCCGTCGAAACGTCTGAGAATATACCACTTCCACGGTCCTACTCTGGAAAGTATTATACATACTATTGACTCCGGACTGGGTACGTTCCTCTAAGTCTTCCTATCAATATGACCAAGTTGGCAAAACAAGGTCAAACAACTTCATTGAGCGAAATTGTTGCTTTTTATTTTCTCTTCCCAGCAAAAGTAGAGTGCGACCAAAACAGAGGTCAAGCTACCTTTGCTCAAGGCTTCGTCCACTCATTCGTTTAGGTATTTATGTACTTTTAAAAAGCGCATTTATTGAGTGGGAAATGCATATATATACAGGCTAGCATTCTCGTTTTAAGCCTAAATTTGGCCAAGAATTAGCAGTCTGCACATGAAGATGCTTCAAAATTGTGGATCCTAGTAGGCTTCGAGGCTATCAGCAATTTTTTAACCACAACTTAGTTACCCTAGGTCGTTAAGGCGATTTAAGGTCTGATAGATTTTAACCATGAAAACATGAGTAGGCCTCACGATTATATTAAATTTCTCTTAGCCTTGACTCACTAAACTTTCCCTTATTTAGAGTATACTGCAGTTTTTATCTCGCCTAAGTCTTTAAAGTACCCCAAACAATTTTTGACACCGGTTTGTGATTGTATCATAGTAAAGTTATACTTTATTCAAACAGTTGCAGGTATCAGTGAGTCCTTGGGCAGATGTGACTTTCAAGGCAAGTGAGACCACTCCTAAACGATATTTGGTGTGGGATTGTTGATAAAGCAAACTTGTATTTGCAATTGCCATCAAAGAGTTTACTTTGAGTTTTGATTATATTATTATTTCTAAAAGCAAGGTTGGGTGAAGTTAAACGGCATCGGGATGCTTACAAATATAATTCTGTGAAAACCCAATTGTCTTTCCGTAAATCCATTTAAGCGACATCCAAAGATATGGTGTTGGTTCAACCCGTTTTCTCAACTTGGTCAGAGCCTCAGGGAGACTTTGTGGAACGTACCTAATCCCGTGTCCTCTGCAATAGTATTCATGATTTCCAGCATTGGACCATTGGCTGGGTACATGCCAAAACGCTTCGCCGGCATCGTAAGCACAAAGTTACAACTTATCAAGTGACAAGGAAAGGCAATCCCCTTTACCAATTTCCTGTTTAACCGTTGTGGCATCACTCCTCTCCCCATTTTTTGTTATACATTCTAGTCCTGCATCTCTTTCTTTCAACCCGACTTCATATATCCAATCTATCTATTCACACAATTCTTTGCTCTGGGATAGCGTCGCTACAAGTGGATTTATCGAAGCGTACTCATCTCCACCACCGATGCTAGGTGCCGTTCGCAGGGCTCCTGACCTTCATGAGGCATATGTTTGAAGCCTAGGGAGATGAAGATTCCCAAGCATTGTCATCGGCTTGGACATAGGCACAATATGTTCTAAATCCTCGAATATGCGTAATTGGGGCCGGGTATTGAATGCTCTTAAGCAGCGAGATCTAAGACAGTTGGACAATGATTTTTATGCTTTGCAGCGACCAACTGGCAAGAGCGAGAGGGGAAAGGGGGGCATAATGGCGGTCAGTAGCCCTGCAAACGATACCTGGTACCAGTGGTGGAGATGATTACACTTCAATAAATCCACTTGTACCAACACTATCTCAGGTGACTTTGGAGTAAATGAGAGCACAGATTTGTGTGAATAAGTAGATAATCCATATAAAGTGGAGGTGAGAGAAAGAGATTCTTCACTAGAAGGTAATACAAAAGATAAGAGCGAAAAGTAATTCCACAACTGGTGAACATAAAATTGGTCAGGGAGATTACCTTTACTTGCCACTTTAATAAGTTTTAACTTTGGGCTAACGATGGCACCTCTCATTGACGATCCCGGCAAAATGTTTGGGATTTTACCAAGACAATGGTCCGATACTGTACACCATGAATACTATGCCAAAAGACACAGGAGTATTTAAGTTCCCTGACGCTCCGACCAATGTGTGAAAACGAGAAAGAACCTACATTATAAAGCTAAATGAGTCTGCGACCAAGCATGAATTCACTCTATATTGGTCTTCATAGCTACGATAGAATGATAAGGTTTATATGCCTGTAATATGAAGAGAAGCTTGGTTTCTAAGAGTACCTTAGTAGATTTATTCTAGCATACCTTGCATTTCTTTTGATAAGGAGGGTTAAAGGGATTTGCAAATTGGCCCCATCGGAGGGTTGCGTTGGATATTTTTGTCGAATTATGTGAATAAGATCTCGGTTCACCGAGATCCCGGATGACTCCGTGTTGAGTTTTCGTCCATCATGTGACGGACATCGTCAGAGTCAGAAACAATTATTCACGAACAATAACCAAAAAACCTAAACCAAGAAAGGTGGCCAGCTGAGATCTAGCTTACTTCTTATACCTTATTTTGCGATCTTAATAAGGCATTCCATGATTTGGTGGCTGTTTTTTGCTTGTCTTACATGCATGTAAGTGGGTCAAAGTGATACAGAAAGGGGTGCGAATGTGGTCGCAACTTTTATATATGTGAATACACTAGCGTATGATCCTGTAATCTGAGGCTTGTTAGAGCCTCGTAGATACGTATTCGTGAGTGCAAGTAAAAATCACAAATATGAGATGTATTCACCCAATTTCGTTTAAGTTGATGAAGGACTGGTAGAAGAAGAATTTTCCCACAA